GCAGGTAGGCAGCGCCGGCGCGCGGGCTGCCGAGCGGGAGCCGCGGGGGAGCGGGCAGGGCTGCGCGGCCCCTTCCCTCCTCCGCCCCCGCGCTGCCCTGTGCACGGGAGGTCCCGGGTGGGCAGCCGTGAGCCTGCCCCGCCCCTGGGCTCTGCGCTAGGGCCCCCCTTCCTGGCGCTGGTCCCCGGGGCGGGGCGGGTGCTTGCACTGGTGGGGCCCACAGTGTGCTGGGCTCTCGCCAGACCCGGGGCCCTACCCCCAGGAGCTCACAAGCTGCAGCAGGAAGTCAGCTCCCCTAACTGCCACTGCGCTAACCTGGCCTGGTCTTTTTAACAGGCACCGGAGCCGTTTTCCTTCTCCAGAACGTGATCAGCAAGAGGTGGCCCTATGCGCTGCAGTGGAAGGTGCTGCTGTCTGTGGGTCAGTGCTCAGGGGCTCTGGGCCCACCCTGCAAACCCCCTAGGGAGACTGCACAGGATCGGGCCCTAGAAAGGCTGCAGTGTTAGCAGCCCGTGGTGCTGAGGTGCAGCCGGTGGGTCACAAGAGCCAGAGCTGAAGTGAGACTCAAGGCTCTTTATTGGGACAGAAGGCCTCTTGTTCCTACTTGGTGCAGGCCCCTGCTTCTCTGTGATTTTAATAGGCCCCCTGGCTGCCCCTGGGCCCTGCCAGTGAATACGTTTACGGTGGCACCATCAGACATCCAGCGCCTCGTTCCTGACTCCCACAGGCATGAGGCTGGCACTGGAGTGGCAGACAGTCTCCTGCATGCTGCCCCAGTAGTTGGTTGCACTTAGCACAGGGGTGGGCAAAACGTGGCCTGGGGGCCGGATGCAGCCTGCCAGGCCATTCTGTCCGGCCCGGGGGGCCCCTAAAAAATTTAGAAAAGTAATATTTATCTGCCCTGGCTGCCTGTCACACGGCCCTCGATGGCTTGCCAAAACTCAGTAAGCGGCCCTGCGCCTGAAATAATTGCCTGCCCCTGAGTCTTAGCAGGACCCCAGTTGCTGGGATGTGCCTGCTTTGAGTGGGTTTGTCCATGCTGTGTCAGCAGCCAGTTCTAGGGAAGAGAGGACTGAGTATGCCCTGCTCACCCAAATCTGCTGACCCACTCCACAGCGGGAAGTTTGCCAGCAAGACAGATCCAGGATCGTTCCCAGCACCTGCTCGGGGACAGGGGGCTGGAGAGCAGCACCTGGGGATGACCCTGGAGAAACCACACTAGTGAACCTTACAGCTGCGGAGGGTGTCAGCACACTCGGTGGGGCGTGCTCAGCTCTGCGTTCCCTGGGACACGCTGTTGTCTCAGATAAGCCCGTCATGGCTTGGAAACGCTCTCGCTGTCGGTGTGTTAAGTGGCAGGTTCCATCGCTGGCTACGCTGTGACCAAAGCAGAGACCCAGCAGTGTTCCAACCTCTGGATCTACCTGGAGACAGGGCAGTTACCGCAGGGAGAAACCAGAGGTGAGGAGTTCATGGCGTGTCATCACAGGTCACCTTCCAGAGCCGGTGCTTGCAACTGAACTGCATTTCCCGTGTGCTCCTTAAAGCCTCTTGTACTTGGCCATGTCACCAGACTGGTGTCTTCCTTTCCCGGACATGTAACTGCGTAAATCCCACCCATCTACAACAGCTGGGTAGCACAGGCACCTGACACTTTCTACAGGAGAACATCCCTAGGCAGCAGCACTGGCCCTGTCTCTGTGGAGCAGTCGCTAGAGGGCACCAACCACTGCTGGCTAAGTCACATACCCAAAGCCAGGACAGCAACAGGCACTGGAGGTTTGCTTTGTCCAAGTCTGTGGCTGCTCAGCTGGGAGGGATGGACTCGTTCTTATTTCTGACATGCTGCTGCATGGGTATACTCCAAACTGTGAGAAGTGGTGTAATGGTGTCACTGGAAGGGGGAGCATGGGATGGGCCAAGCTAAAGACCCCACGCTGGAAGGGACATGCGGATGGCTTATCAACAATGCAATGAGAGCAGAGTGTAACAGCCATCACCAAGAGTTAGCCTGGCTTCCCTGTGACTGCTCCTGCCTGCAGCTAGTTGGCTGCTCAGCATGGAGTTCAGTGACTGACTCACACCAGTTGCAGAACAGAGAACACGTGTGAGCTCAGGCATCCTCCCAAATCCCTGCCTGTTGTGCATCACAGTAGGATTGTGTTGTGAGCGGCCCCCAGTTGACTAGACTTCCAAACCTTCCTTTCATGTCTTACAGAAAAACTCCCCAGCCCAGAACCCACAGAGGACGAAGAATCGAGGGTGAAGAGGACCAAATATGGAGATGAAATGGAGTAGCTGGAGAAGCTTTGAGCAACTTCCCTGGGCCCATGGTGGCTTCAGCCCTGCTCCTGTTGCATGTCCCCAGGGCTGTAGCCACAGGGTGATACCAAGGGACACAGCAGCATGCCACCCCTGGCCAGGCAGTCAGGAGTAGGGAAGTGTGTGGGGAACCTTCAGCTCTCGCTGACCTCTGAGGGAGCAGCAGCAGCTGTTGGGTGGTTAATAAAGGTATACTGGAGATGTGTGTGTCACAGAAGGAGAAAGTGAGCAGTGTGCAAGGGGAAGAGGAGATGGTGGGTGGTGGGAGGAGGCTCAACATGAAGTTTCCCAAATGGCTGCTGGCCCAGAAGGGAGTTTGTTGTAGCCTGCTGCCTCACTCTCAGCAGACCAGACTGTCGCCCCTGCACTGTTTTCTAATCCACTGACTTAAATGCAAGTTGCTGTGCCTCTGCCTCTGTCGGGGAGCGCAGACAGGCCTGGATGGTGGGTGAGCCATGTGAAGCTTCCTTCTGACGCTCGCTCTCCCACAGAAGTCCCAGCTCCATGCTCTGGCAAAGCAACATGCTAAGAGCCAGCAAGAGAGGCAGGACTGTGAATCCATCAACTGGAATTACTTCCTGGGGCATGAGATTGTCAGTGCAGCCTGATGGCCTCAAATGATTTGCACTCATTCACCACAGGAAGAGGTCAGTGAAACAGGTTGTAGCAGGCAGAGGGCAATGGGGGTTGTTGCTGCCCTTTAATTACATTTATTTGACTCATTGAAAACCAGGACAGTTTACATTTTTAGTACATGAAAAACACATATGCGCCACATGCACACAGCTCTGCTTGCTCCTGCTGGGAAACACAAGCGGGTACCCCCCACCCATTCAGCTGTTGTGGGGGTGTAGTGTGTCCCATCGGGACCTGTGAGAAAGCCACAGCCGCACTGGGGAAGGCCTGAGTGTTTTCTCCATCACAGCAGTTGGAAGCTTTAGGCTGTTGGCTGAGGTACACAGGACCCCTCCTGATTCATTCCCCCATCGCTCCCCAATTCTGCACATCCCCATTTGGCAGGAGTGGCCAAGGGCAGACCTCTGTAAATGAAAAAGGCAAAAGGCACTGCATTGTGTGTTGCTGAGGGTGGGAGCCGTGCAGGCACTGGCTCAACCTGGATTGTCAAAGTACACCCTGGCATCGCTGAGGCGAGGTAGACTGGCCTCCAGGGGCTGGACACAAATGCTGGCCCAACAGAGGTCTATGGCACAGCTGCCACAGACTTCACTGATGCCAGATTTGGCCCTTGTTCAGGAAGATCTTGTCACGCACTGGGTGACACCAGGTTCCCCACATCTCACAGGATCCCTTGAAGGGCCTAGACAGGGCTCCAGGCAGGGGGACTGGTGCATAAAGCTTTACCAAGAAGCTTAGATATGTAATATCCCTCCCTCCCTCCCTCCCTCCCTCCTCCCATGAATGCAAGTATCAACAGTTCCTTCCCTCTGGTGGGACGCAGTTGTGGCCTGGGTCTTGCTGGCCGTGTAACGTGTCCAAATCTCAATCTGGTAGGAGAACAAGGATGCTGCCCTGGTATAAGTATCCAGGCCCCAATCCCAGCCATGATCCACAGGTGTCAGTTGTCCACCCTGCTTCCTCAGGGTCTGAGCAAGGGGCAAATGGAGGGAAAAGGACTGGTTCCCCTCGGGTACAGCGCTTCAGGTGCAGGGAGGGACAAGGTCTCCCAGTGTCCTTCAGTCTGAGGGATTTAGGCTGAAATGAGCCCTCCAGAGTCAGTGGAGCTCCATTGACTCCAGGAAGCCATGTCTCTTGGTCCCTCCCAGCCCTGAGCCTAGATAGTAGCTCTCTCTTTGTTGGGCCGGACCAGGCAGAAGATGGCTGCCAGTGCTGTTAGGATTATCGCCACAAAGAGGAGGATGAGGACAACCCAGGAGCTGTACTCAGTGCCCTTTCGGAAGCCTCCTTCATCAGCTGGGATCATATTGGTAAGGTTCAGCATGTAACCCAGGGCCCAGCCAATGGAGGTGTCCCCAGCCTGTGGAAAGAGATGAGAAATGTCAGGGAGCCTCACTGACTCAGAGCACAGATTTGTCTATAGCCCGGTGACCTGTACTTCAGTGGCACAGAACAGATGCTCAGGGGAGGAGTATAAACCTGTCCAGACTAAGCTGTCCCTTGCTTTTCTTTATACCCTCAAGCATTTTGAAGCCTAGAAGTCCTAATGTGGAGGTTGCAACCCTACAACTGTGTTTAATACCTACTGGCAGACCTATCCTGCTTGAATTTGGCCTGTCCTTTTGCACTTGGTTAAACTGTTGGCTTCTACAACATCCTGTGGCGATGATGACTACCATGTTAATCACAGGCTGTACAGAAAAGAACTTCCTTTTGTTCATTTCAAAGCTACTTCCTTCTGATTATTTCCTTTGATATCTCCCAGCTGGATATAGACAAGTTCATGAAAGCCCAGTGGCCATGCCTTCTTCATATGTTAGCTTGAGAATACCTACAGCTGCATTTTGTTGTCACTTAAAGCAAGGCACCTGTTCCCATGCTGATCGGTACAAATGGTACAAAGATACCTTAAAACCGAACATAAAAGCATGCTGGGTCATCCCCAGCAGCTGGGAAGCAAAAGCTCACAACAGAGGGGGTGGGTGCCCATGAAAACACACCCACACTCCCCTGTCCCACGGACATTCCTCCTCCTTTGATGAGCTCTCTCCATCTCACAGAAGTAACAACCCAGGTCACCCCAAAGCTGACAGCTGCACCCTGTCTACTCAGGCTCCTGCCTTCCCTGCTGAGACACTCCCCGCCCATGGTCTTTTCTTGAGGCTGGAGCTCATCTCTTGCAGAGACCTGGGCAGAAGCCATTCAATGGAGCTTCTGCATGTCAGAAAGTGTCAGCCAACCAGAGGTGCACTCAGGTACTGGACGACAGAGCCACGAGAAGGCAATGGTCAGTGTAGAGCCCCCGGCAGCCCATATACTCACCTTCTTCTGGAAGGCAATGTTGGAGAATGTGCTGTCATCAAACTGGTAGCCCTTGGTGGTCAGCAGGTAGACAAAGGTGCTGGTTATGCAGTAGTCTGGTAGCCTCTTCTCCTGGCTTGGGGCTAAGTCCAGCAGCTGGACAGCCAAAGGTGGGGAGGGGGTAGAAGGGGCAGAAAGGAGAGAGAGGAGTCATCTCTCCCACCCAGCACAATCTCAGCACCTTGCAAGGAGTTTGGAGAAGGATTCCTGCTTCAGCACAGGAACTGAGAGCACTCAGTCAGCCTTTGTGATGTGCCCCCGCCTTTGCTCTGGAAGGGGCACGAGTATGTGTGAAGCAGACCTCAAACCTCTTTCAAATCCAAGTTCTTTGCAGCCCTGCAAGTCTGCCCATGGAGTATGAGAGTGTGCTGGCCAGGCTCTGCACATTGCCAGCTTCTGTAGGGGCCAACGACAGGCCCTGCCCAGTCAGGGGGTTATGTCACCATCTATGATATGCAGCATAAAAACAGTGGCATGGCTACAACTGACCTTTCACAAAAAACAGAGACCTTTGGTTAATTCCCTGCTCTCAGTGCTATGCAGTCCCAAGGCTGGGGGAAAGCAATGTCTCTGGCAGTCAAGGCAGGGTGAGGGCATTTCGTGCCTCTGGGATCATGGACAGAGGGAGCACGTATTCCTCCTCGTTGCTAGGCTGTGCCAGGGACCTTACAGAACAGACAGGCTCACGAAGAACTAGGATGAAGGTTTGCTGACACTCTGACTGATGGATCTCTGAGAAGGAGCACAGAAATCATCACGGGAGAATGAAGGGCACACAGAGTCCCTGCATGGATGGGCTGTGAATGCCACCACTGGTGTGTTGGGCACCCTGGGATGGGGGAGACAAGGGGCAAAGAAGGAAAAGGCCCCCAGCATGAAGGAGGCAGGAGCAGGGATAGGAGGCATGCCAGAAACTGGAGTATGGGCTGAGTTTGGCTATGGGAGCTACAGAGTGTCAACTCCTAGTGCACAGTCCTTTCCCAGGGACCCGCGCTGGTAAAATGCTGTAAATGTCCACCAGCTGCACTCCACACCCCAGCATGACTCTACCACCAAAGGCGGGGAGGAATTCTCTTCCCCCTTCATGACAAGTCAAGAGTGCTGCAGAAACAAGAAGAGCCAGTCATGGGATCCTTAACTTAGTGCCCACACAGCACCTGCCACCTCCACTGCTGGTGTTAAGCATCTCAAGGGAAGCTGCTGAAAGGGAAAAGCACTCTGCCCCCACCCCAAAGGTCAGGGCTCCAGGGCTCCTGTCCAGACTCCAGCCCTGTCACCTGGGAGATCTGACAGGACGCACCACCCCCTGCTATTGTGGCTGCTGGGTTGCAGAAACCAACACTGCCAAGAAGTTGAGCAGATCAAGGCTAGTCTCCCCAAGTGGATGGCAGCCCTGTGGAATCACTCACTGTTTGCTGGGAACCCACCTGGGACCATGTGGTGTTGCAGATGGCTTGGGCTGCTTCTTCTAGGTCCCTGGGCGAGGCCACATGTCTCTTCATCACGCTTTGGATAAAATTCACTGTGTAGAAAAAGGCCGAGAAAGCCTGACATGGGGGAGGAGAGGGAGAAAGGGGGTTAGGGAGCGAAATCAAAGCCTCGCTGGCACACATAGCAGTTTCCCTTCCGGCACCGAGGCCTTCAGGGCTTGTCAAGGACAAGCAATACCAGATTCTTTTGGGATTAGAGGGAAGAGAGATCAATGTGACCATTAGGGGGCAGCAGCTCCCTCCTTTCCCCTGCTTTAACTTTGGCTTCTGGTTTTGTGCCCCGTGGATGAGGGTTTGAAACGGAAGGTTTTGGGGAATCTTTGCTATGTGGTTGCTCGCATATACAGGGTACTGGACTCCAGGGATCAGGAGGCCCCTTCCAGTCTCACCTCCCTAGTGCAAACAGTGCTTATTAACTATAGGAACAGTCACCTCATTAAGGGTACAGACAGTTGTGTAACGACTGGATCTCTCTCAAAGGGTATTGATACGAGGTGTTACAGCATAACTGCTATCTCTGAATGGTTGGATACAAATATGAGTACAGCAAAAGCGGCTAAAAGGCAAGTTTGACCCTATCCTAAGGCCCCTTACCTCAGAGCCCTTTAGGGCTCTAATAGCAACCCTGAAACGGAGAGGGCCCAGCTAGTCCAGAGCCGTGGTAGAAGCCTTGGAATTGATGGCTCCAAGTCAGGGTCACCTGTTATGCAGTTAATGGGAGCACCACAAATTAGACAAGAGACTGAACCCCCTACACACTTAAGCGGTGCATTTTTCTGAACCAGCCTGCCAAGAGCCTAAGCTCATTAGTGTCAGCAACAGGTAACCTGCTGGGAGTGACCTTGCCATTTGCAGTTAAGCCAATTAAACCTTCCCCGACATGCAAGGAGGTGGACGACTGCACTTACGATGAAGTTCCCCGAAACACTGGGTTGGAAAATGCCATCAAAGGAGCAGCGGGAAAAGGAGCAGTTGGAGAACCTGAAAAGGCTTTCCATGTGTAAGCGACATTTGGCAGGATCTCCAGATCCTGCCATGGCGACAACAGCTTTGGGGTCATAACTACTGGGCTGCTCTGTGCTGGTGCAGGGTGAATTGTAGACTTCCTCTAGGAAGAGTTGTTTCTGGTAGCCTTTGGGCCAGCAAGGGTTGGAAATGATAGGTTTGTATTCTTCAGCCTGTTAGGTGAGGAAAAGGCAAAACACAGTATTAGCCCTACTTGTGGCTACCAGGAGCGAGGGCTGTGTCCAGGGCAGGTCTGGAAACCAGCAGCATGGCTTAGGGACAGAGCTGAGGATAGGTGGTTAGGATCCCTGCTGCCTCAGGTTCAAATCTCACTAGGGCAAGTTCTGTCCTCCCCAGGGAAGCAATGGAAATACACGCAGCTTCCTGGTAGGATTCAGAGAAGAGACCCTTGCAGACCAAGGTCTTTCTGCTCCATATAAAAATTTAGCATGGATTGGCTTGGTGCCCTAGGTCCCCACTGCATTGCATGGGCAATCGTACTGGTGAAACTACCCCTTCTCCATGATGTGCCCCAGAGATGGGGCTGTTCCCTCCCTTCTTTTCAAAGCCCATGGGGCACAGGAACAGAAAGAGCCCTCAACGTGGAACCTGGGAGATAGCAGCCAGCCTGGAAACAATGTGATCCAAAAGGCTGGTGGCCAGGAGATGAGGAGGAGTGGAAACTCAGCCCTCGAGGCCATGCTGGAGCACCCCACAGGGTCCTACTCAGAGCTCCTCCATACCTTTAGGACCTTTGAGAGCAGCCTCTTGAGGACCTGGTCCCGGCCGTAGCACAGAAAACTGTGGGTGTAGACCTTGTATGTCTGCCCATACAGCCGCAGCATCACCTCATTCTGGGGGTTTTCAATCTGTTCCATGGTTTCGAAGGTGATCTGTGTGGAGGCTCCTCCCAAGTCCATGGCCCCTAAGGTACCCTTCTTGGGATGGATCCACTGCCCGATCCAGCCATACTGGGTGAAAGGGAACAAAGCAATGGCATAGAGATGGTTCAGAGGGTGCTGCTGACTAGTCTCGGCTCATAGCAGGCAGAACATCCACTTGCTCCATGCCTGGGATGTTCTCAGCTGCCCCCACAGGCAGCAGCGCAGTGGTGCTAGGCCACAGCTAAAACAAACACCCTCTGTAAGGGGCAGTAACACTCCCAATGCCTGCTGTGATTCCAGGATCACATTGTTGGGGCCAAGGGCAGAGTAGTGCTAACACCCTCAGCTATCCCTGAATACCCTGGGACTGGGGGTTCCAGCATAGGACAGATCCTGACCTAGTGACTCACACACATTTTGGAGTCTGGTCCCAAGGGTTCCTAGTGTCCCCCTCCCCTCCCCAAAGCTGACTCTCCCAGGCTGAGCACTACCCATGATAGGCACTGGGCACCTCCCCCTGCTCCTGAGCTACACCTCTAGGGCAGACAGGGCAGCTTCAGGACCTGAACCTGGTCCTGGCTTTGATTTTTTTTTTTATTGTCCAGGGAGCCCTTTGCACAGGCAGCTTCAATCAGCCACTGCTGGATGCTCCGGCTACGTGATGCAGAGGGCAGCAGTGCTGTGCAAAGTCACGGGGACAGCTGTTGTTGAGAAGCAGCCTATTAGCCCAGCTCAAGCCTGAATCCTCCACCAGGCTTCTTTTGAGCTAACCACATCTTCCACACACCAGGCGTATGCTCCGCACACAGCTACAGAGCCTCTGTGTCTTGTTCCCTCCCTTGGCAACCAGCACCCAACAAGAGTGTCCTGGAAACCACTGGTTTTTAAAGTGGAAGCCTTAGATTCCAGGTAGTGAGAGCCCTCAAGATTAGCTGCTGGCTTATCCCCTCTCACCTGCTCTTTCAGGCACCTCCACCAGAGAGAGAAGCCCATGAGTGGATGAATGTGTGAGCCCATGTCTGCCTAGGGACAGGGAAAGCCCTCAGAAGCCAACCCAGCTGCATGTACCTTGATGAAATTCTCCAAGAGGTAGTTGGCTGTGACCCAGCCAAACACGCCCTCGTCTTCGCCCGACAGAATTTTCGCCCCTCGAAAGTCGAAGGGGTACGACATCAGTGTGGAGGTGACGCTGCTGAGGACATCATTAGACTCCTGAGAGTTGGTGATGCTATGAGACACATGAAGCAAGGCATCAATGTGAGAGACCAAGCAAAACCTCCACTGCATCTACAGGACTGAGGGCAGAGCCTACCCACCACAAGCAGAACCAGGACATGTGGAGCACAGGGAACCTATGGCCTCAGGGGTGCAACTGGGGAGAGCAAATTTTATTCCCAATATGTGGCACAACTGAGACACATGAAGGGCCAAGTATGTACCCTTTCTTTCCTTCCTAGCAAACAAGGCATAAGACATGTTTCTGGGATCCTGTGGCAGCCTAGATAAGATCTGACAAAAGATATTTAATTCTGGATGATTCCAGGCCCAAGTGACCCACAAGCAAAGCAGGTTTGGGGACCCCATGAAATAAGGAACCCTTGCTACTCCAACCTGCCTCCCCCTACAGCAGTGGTTTGCAACTTTTTTCGTTTGCAGACCCCTAAAAATTTTTGAATGGATGTGCAGACTCCTTTGAATTATAAGTGAATTCAAGTACTTTTGATTGATAATAGTAATCTTTTGCAGACCCCTTAGACAGTCTGTGGACTACAGGTTGAAAACGGGTGCAACAATAGAGATTTTTTGGGCCAATATTGATGGCCAATTGTTAACAAGCTGTATTGGACTATACTGATCCGATTGCCGATATGCAGCCAGGCAGCATGGAGAGCAGCCTCTGCCTGGTAAGTCTGTTGTGGGGGAAGGAGTCGGGGGAGGGAAGAGGTGTGGGGGGCAGATTGAGGCCCCAGCAGTGAGGGGGAGAGAGTGAGGTAGGGACAGGGGCAGGCACTGCACAGCCAGGGTGGGGTGGGGCATGGGACAGAACCACAAGTTGTCCAGGGGGCATGGGGAGGGGGAGGCGGCA